CTGAACAGGAACGATGAACTGAGAGTACTCACCATTAACAAATCTATTAATTGGTTTGCCAATTGGAAACTTTTTTTGATGAACACCTCTTCCCTTGTCACGTCCTTTGCTTCATGTAAGCTCAAATCATTCATTATTAAAACCTTCATTGATGAACTTCCTACTTTGTCATGTCTCACATTACTAAGACCTGACTTATATGAGCACTGGCTATGTGTGGGTTGCAATGATGCCATTGAAACTGCTTTACATATTTGGATTTGTCCAATGTACTCCTCGGAAATAATGAACACAATCTCAGCTACCAAACAAGATCTTAAGGACCAACTAAGTGCTTCATACTGAAACAGATATACAACACACCGAACTGAACTAGAGGACGTACTCAACACAATTTTTGCACTACCTTTAAATGCTTCTAATGGCTATGCCGACATCATCCAATCCAGAATCCCATTTTCGTTGACAGATATCGTTCACAAAATAACTAGCAACAAAGAGCGATGCCTCTCTATCATTTTACGCTCGCTGCTTTTTTTCCACCAAAAATTATATGATGACATCTGAAAACACCATTGTAACTTAGTGATCGCTAAAGAGCATTCATTGGGCATTACTAAACAGGATAAGCGTAAATAAAGTACCAGTTCACTCTTGCCTCGTAGATAGACATCAAGCCCTTCTCTTAACTGGGAGACTTGGGTACACTTTGCGAATAAATTTGGCTACGCATTCTCAGATTTTTAGATAGGCACTGACGTCTTCTTTATCTTTCCTTGTTGATATTATTCTTCATTAAGTATGTACTTAGTGGAAGTAATAGAGGGGAAAGATGATGATAGGTCGATCCAAACGGGTTTGTAATATAACTACGGGGGATAGCTAGTACTTAGCATAGATTATTTTCGATTTACTTTGTATTTTCTTATTTATAAATTTAATAAAGTTACTGGTAGTGCCACATCGTTAAAAAAAAAAAAAAAATTTATATAATAGTTACAATTTTTTTATTATTATTTGTATAAAGGTAAAGTTCATATTTTTTTTTTTCATAATATTTATCTTTTGATTATTTTTAAAAATATAAAAACATTGCTAAAAGATAATTTATAAAACTTAGTTTTAATAAAGATCTTTTAAATTTATAAATAAGATAAATATTTTCTTTTTTTTTAGATTTTTTTTATAAAATCAAAAAAAGATAAAACATCAATAATTTTTTTTATTAAATTAGTAATTCAGAAGTTTTGATAAACTATTTGAAATTTTGAGTTTTAATAATATATTTATAATAAAACTATTTGTTTATAATGATAAATACCTTTGGTTATCATAAGTTTACCTAAATTCAATAAAACAAATCTAAATTTTCAGATTTAAAAACATTATTATATAAAGGTTTTAGCTAGGTTTTTACATTTTAAAATTACACATTTTTAGCAAGTGGTAATCATTCCCTTTTCAATGGTTTGAAATTAAGACATTTTATTAAGTAGATTTGTTTCAAAGCAATGAATGATTGACTAAATGTCAATTCAGAGTTATAATCTTTTACTTGTAAGGTGTAGATTTACTTGCATAATTACTTTTAAATCTATATTCATCATTACCGTCCTATCATATCCAAATGCTAACTAAACGATTTGAAAGAAAACAGATGAAATCAATAATGTTATCAAGTTCCTTTGAAGTTTTTTTTTTTGTAATTCTGTCTAAGACAATCGGTGGAATTTTTTTTTATTGTTCAGACATTTGAATATCTTATATAATAATGTTATTTTTCTTTTTAATTATCAGACATACGTACATGTATTGTTCTCATATCGGTATGTAGTTACACAAACTACATGATTTTGGAAAAATTTGTATTTCCTTTCAAATATTAATTAAAAAATTTTAGAAATTTAATTAGCAATCGAGAAATGATTCGAAAAGACTCCGACTACATTGAAAATAACACATTGTTTGAAGTTTTTTTTTTTATTTACAGTAACAGGCGATATGCATGCAACTTTAAATCAAACAAAAATAGTGTGAAGATCGTCAACAATTAGAATAACTTTCAATAAAAATAATTGTTTTCACCATTCACATTGTTCTCTTTGATGAAAGGTAAAAAAAAAAAAAAAGTATTTAAGAGAATCAAAAAACTTTTTTTATTTGCGATCCAGAAAAAAACAAAAAAAACAAATACAAAAAAAAAAAAAAAAAAAAAATGTAATCTCATCAATGAATTTAAGCATAATTTAACACACTTATGAAATGAAATTTAAATCATACGACCAACAAATTATATGGTCATTACATAAAATTTAAAAACATAGAGGTTAAGAATATATTAGTTGTTTGAACAATTTATGATAAAAGATTTAAATAACTTAAAACTTAAGAGGAATAACTAAAAAACATAAGCTTATGTAGAAAACGCGTAGGATGATGATCTTATAAATTATGTACGAGCTCCATGACGTTTGATTATAGCATTAATACGAGATGACAAGTTGCAATAGTTGATTTTTTCATGAACACTAGCACCTTTCAACAAAATATCAGTAACTCTACTAATCACGAGACCGCTTGTGATTTGGATTTGATTTGCTTCTCTTGATACAAAGTATCTTACCAATCTTCGCATGGTAACTTTAGTTTTAGGTCTTAATTCTTCATAAACGTGTATTGGAATGGTGACCGGAGGCGGAAAAACTAGGGTTCTGTTCAAATCAAAAACCAGTTTAAGTGCTGATACTTCGTCCAAGTTCATATTGAATAAAAAATTTTTATTCTTTTATGTTTTTTCTTTTTATTTTATTTTTTTTAAAGGGGGGGGGGGGTTCAAGTAACGGCACTTTATATGTGTATAATGTCTTGATTCAAGTCGTCAACGCAACGGTAATAAAAAAAAATTTTTCGTTTTCTAACAAAAAAAAAGGTGAAACGATTTAAACTTGATTATATATAGTCTACGTACATATCTTTCTTTTTTTAAAGAAAAAAGCTTGTTAAAATCACAAAATTTATCGAAATAAAATTATCTGGAAAGTTTGTTTCTTCAAATAAAAATTCTATTTTTGGGATTTTATAATTCTATTTTTATGTCTCAATATGAAAACATTGAAAAAAAGGATGTGATGATATGATAGATATGATGTCAATAAAGTTATCAAGCTCGAGAATTTGAACAGTAAATAAATAATAAAGATTGACAATCGAATATATAATGATTAAACGTGTCAGTATACATGTATATAAAAAATATAAAAAAAAAAGATTTTGATAAAGATCATAAAGATCTTATCAATAATTTTTTATGAAAAGTAATAATTAAATTTAAATTCATGAACAAATAATAAATTACAAAGTTACAATATACTTCTTTGATTTACGTGTCTCATGATCATTTTTTGATTCAGTATTATAACTATCTAATTTATATCCAATCTGATAATATCTTCAAGCTTATCATCATAAATTGTAATGAAAATACTATAAATAGATTTAAATTACAAGAAAATAGCAACATTTTGTTAAAAAAAAGGCTTTTGCTGATTACACGATTACACAAGCAATCCTAATTTTGAAATTTGAGTTAATTTAAGATTTTTTTGTATTTTTGTACCTTAAACAGATAAATAAAAACAAAACATACGAACAGGCTTTCTATTTATCATAACTATAATAAGAGTAAATTTTGCATTGTTCAGTTTAACCATTTTAAATGTTTCGACTGTTTCAAAATACCGTTTCACAAAATGGAATTTGCAATTTGTTTGTGGATGACGTACGCAGTACCATGAGGAATTTTTTTTTTGTTCTATACCAATGAGTTGGGATGGCGACATCACAAAAGTATGAATATTATGATCGTTATGCATACAAAAAATTTTGGTGATGCAGAAATTATGGGCGTATTTATTGGATGCTCATTAAAGATGCGCAGTGCTCCATCATCTTGGAGAACATTATAATAATAAGATTCTTAAAAATGTAAATATAACTTACAAGAGAAATTCTCGTAAAGACTATTTGGATTCTAAAAAAAAAAAATATCATTGAATAAGTAAAATATGATATAGCTTTTTAACTTACAAACAAATCTCGTTAATGCTTTATCTTTATATCTTTAATATTTTCTTATATTTTATGCGAACTACCTCTACGAACCGAACAAATAACTAAATAGGTAAAAATCAGTTTTTTATAGCAAATTTAGATATAGAAATAGTGTTATTCTTTATTCAATAATAGAACTTTATAAATCTAGCGCGATCAGACCTCTCAATAACATTAAAATATAGCAAGATTAGTTGTCACGATCATTTTTTCATAATAGTATCGTATCGTTAATTCAAAAAAATCACTGGATAAAACTAGAACATTAGAACTAGAAATTATCATAACGGGATACTCCATACATTCATTTATCGATTTATCGAACTTTTAATTAGATAATTTGTCTATTTGGATATTGACGTTAGGCAGAAACCGATATGACTGGATAAAAAAAAAAAAAAAATCTGTAACTAAGATTTCGTCGTAATATAATTTAGCGTTTGGCGACCCTGCGACAAAAAAACGATTTGTGAATTAGTATTAATTTTTATTATTAAGTTTTTTTTTTAAAAAAAAAAAAATTTTTTAACGCAATTTAAAATTGAATTTTGCTAGAACCAGAGAATCTCGTCTTGTAAAAATTTGAGGAGTGATTTTCTATTCTTAATGTGGTTCCGTCATGACTAAAATTGTGGAGTCGACTTTGTTTTTTTTTACAGAAAAATTTGTTTAAAATACGTAATGAGGAAAGCTTCAACAAATTAAGTCTACCTGTCAAAATTATACTTTTTTATTATAAATTATTTATTCTGAAATTAAACCAATCTTTAAAAAATTAAATTTGATATTAATATACATTTTAAGTTTTTGAATATTTACATATGAAAAGTCATCCCTGAATCAATAATTAATTGATTATTTTAAACTAAAGTTGTTTATAGAGATTAGTAACCATAAGAATCTTTAAATATAAAAATTATATATAAAGAATCCGTAAATTGTAAAATTTGATTTGGTATTTTTATAAATTTTATTTTCAAGTTTAATATAATATTTGAAGTTCGGTAAGTTTTACGAAGCTCGAATTATTACAATTCAAAGTACTATTGCCTACACTTCATCACTTATGATTTGAATTAAAACATATGTAATAACAATTACTTTTATGTTAAATTAAAAGGACACACGTAAGATATTTTAAACATAGTCGCGCAATCCTTAATTAATCATGTAGTTAACGTAACAAATAAATATACTAGATAAAATATCAAAATACTAGCATCAGGGATATTTATTTGGTAACATGAAACAAATTATGAATAAATAAATATAACAAAAAAAAGTCATTTATAATTATTAAAAATTAGCAAAAATTTCAGATGCATTTTCAGATCCTTCATAGTCTTTATCTATCTCATCATCATCATCTAAATTGTCGAAAGGTACTATTGCTTCTTCTGTCATTACTGCTTCTCTTTCTACCTCAACATCAACTTCCTCTACTTCCTTACATTCAGTTGATTTCTCTTTTGTCACATCGTTTTTATTAGTCTCCCACCAATAATAATACCAAAACATCAAACCAATAAAAAGAAAACCATAACTAATAAACATTGGAACCATTTTTTGGATCCTTTCGATTTGATTACAAACAACTGGATCAGGTGATGTAGAAGTTGGACATCGAACGTCGACAAAAAAAGAACATATAATTATAAATAAACCTGCTAATATAAAAATTCCTGCTATGGGAAACGAAACTTTAAATGTTATAGGGTCAGCATTTTCATCCTTATACCTTTTGAATCGAATTACAAATAACCCTATACCAATAGCAAGATAAAAAATCCAATGACTGTACATTGCAAAAGAAGAATATAATTCAAAACTTGTAATGACAAAACTACTCCCAATAAACAAAATAAATAACATACACCAAATAAATTGCGCTAACAATGCATTAATTGGCGTGTTACAGTATTGATGCCAAATTTTTAATTGATGTAAATATTTTGGAAAAAAACCCGATTTTGCGGCTGAAACAATGACTCTTGATCCACTATATATTTTTGTTAAAGGAAAAAAAAAAAAAGGTTACTTTAAATTACAAAAATAAGTATTAAAAAATATATTTATCATCATCTACCTCCATATATTTGATGCAGCAGTACCAATTAAAGAAAGTACAATTAGAAACTCAAATATTTTTACTAATATTACATTGTTATCAAATAATTTTTCAAAAAAGGGTACGGCTATGATTTGAACCGTTCTTCTATCCTGTAGTCGTATCTTATCTTCAGGTATAACAGAAATAAACGCAATATTTATAAGAAGATCTATAATTGAAAGGTTTTTAGTATCATAGCAGAAGTATGAAATCCTCCCAACTTAACATACATACATAAGAATGTAACAATGACAACACTGATACCATTACTGACAAGAAACTTATTTTCTACACTTCTAAACTCATCCAGCGAATCTACAAAGAGAATTCGTTATTATGATATTTACTCATCAATGTTAAAATAAAAAAGATTCTCAATTTGAATGATTTACAATTTAAATTGTTCCATCCATTATAACTAAACATTATCTATAAATGAACAAACTTTTGAATATAAATTTTATTGTAAGTATTTGAAAAATAATCATATATATTTACCAATAAAATAGCGGAAGGATAAGCTGTAAAATCTTTATTTACGCTTAATGGTTTTTGCCAATTGGTACGACTTATTTCCCAATCTAAAATCAATCTGAAAATTCCAGCTATTGCGATAATTGAGTATGTGATCAATTTTATAACTGAAAGTGTTTGATTTATAACATTTGCCAGTCTATTATTAATCATATGATATGCTGTTATAATAAATAAAATTGCAATCGCTATGAATTTTACAGAACTAAAAAATATGATTGATTAAATCTTTAAGCTACAAATTGCTACTAAAATTCTTTAGAAACAAACTTTATTCATACCAAAATGGAGAAAATGGAAAATTCCATTCATCCATATCTATCTTGATATCATTTTGAGATCCATTAATCATATACCAAAAATATTTCGCGGCAGAATGTAAAATTGCACATGTAATTCCCGGCCTAATCACTCTAAATAAAAATAATGACCGGATTATTGACAAAATTAACCAATACTTTGATTAATTCAAAATCAATATTAAACTTACAAAATGTACATAAAGCTAAAAAGGTAGCTTATTAAAAGTTTTGGGTTTGGATAAGCAGCTTGTAAATATTTCAATTCTCCTCCACTATCCTTATGTTTAACACCAAGTTCAGAATATACTAATGATCCCGACATACTAATAATTCCACCAATAAACCATAATAATAATACAATTCCTGGAGACTTTACTGAATTCCATATCATTCCTGGTGTGGTAACGATCCCTGACCCAATGATGCTGTTTATGTTCATACCGATACCAAAAACAGCACCCAAAATATTCGTTCTAGATTGACTCATATTTTAAAATGAGCAACCTTTTTCACAAAATTTTAAAAAAATTTTTTATTAAACTCAAGTTAACATTGTGCTTTTATTTATCTTTATTGATCCAAATTAGTAATTGCAGGAAGTCCGACTGGTCATTAATCATGTGTGTGATAAATAAGGAGTAGATCTAATTTAATTAGGCAACAATCCCGGATGATCAAACGATGATTTTTAATCTCATTACAGTA